ATATATATAAACTAGAGGCACAGTGCATGAAATTCATGCACAGGTAGGGTCCCTAGGCCTGGCCGGTGATCAAGGCCAATCAGGGCCTTCTGGCTGCCAGCCGGGGCCTCCTTTCTCTGGCTGCCAGCTGCCGGCCAGGGCCTTCCTTCATTCCGTGCCACTCTCTGGTGGTCAGCACATGTCATTACGAGTGATCAAACTCCATCTCCTGGTTGAACTCCCAAGGGGACACTTTATATATTAGCCTTTTATATAGAGAGATACTATTGATGCCCAGCCAGTGTAGCTCAGTGGTTGAGTCTCGACCTATGAACCAGGAAGTCACAGTTTGATTCCTGGTCAGGGCACATGCTTGAGTCTCAGGCTCAATTCCCAGTGTGGGGCATGTGGGAGGCAGCCAATCAGTGATTCTCATCATTGATGTTTCTATCTCTCTCTCCTTTCTGCTCTGAAATGAATAAAAAATATTTTTTAAAAAAATGTTAAAATACTATTGAATTGTACACTTAAAAGGTAGATTTTATGGTATGTGAATTATATCTCAAAAAAAAGAGGTCCATAGAGCTTTTTGGTGAGATGCAAGTCAGAGGTATGGCAAACTGACACTTTCTTTGGCAAATAAAATTAGTCTCCTTACTAAGTGAAATATTAAATTTATAGAGGGAGAGAAACATTGATGAAATATGGACCGGCTGCCTCCTGCACATCCCCTACTGGGGATCAAGCCTACAACCCAAGCATGTGCCCTGACCAAGAATTAGAGGGTGACCTCTTGTTACATGGGACAACACTCAGTCCACTGAGACACACTGACTGGGCTAAGGAACTCTTTCTGGAACAAATTCTAGCACCTAAAACAAGCACTTGGTAAGTAAGTCCTCAGTAAATGATTACCATAGGCATAAAAAAGGGGGGGGGCGGGGGGAAGAGGCATGAGAAATTAAGATTTGAAAGCATTTAAAAATTATGTCATGATTTGAGAAAGGCTACTCATTTAAACCATATATAAAAGCAAGAAAAGTTATATCATTGAAAAAACCTAGCAACTGATTTTCTCTATTGGACGGTTGGGCAAATCTACCTAAAAGTACTGGTTTGTCTTCACTCATTATATCACCTATCAGCCTAAGGATCTCTGACTCAGACCCTCACCCCAGAGAAGAAATCTTGTAGACAGGTTCTCCCTCTCTCTCTTAGACACTTCCCTCCTACAGAATCCCAATGAGACCGGGCTCATTCCTATTTCTTGTTTAAGAAGGAGCTTGTCAGGATTGACAGAAAAGTAACCAATCTTTCCCAAGGAAAGCAACTTACTTTCCATGCCATTGCTCCTAAAATCACTGATGCTGCTACAGGAAAAAAAGAGACCAGCTAAAGTTGGAAATCTGATTCCTATAAGGATAGGACCCAGCAGGTTCAGGATAAAGGGACCCATTAACATCTTTTGAGCACCTATTAAGTGGCAGGCACTGTGAGCTCTTACAAAGGCAAAATTCATGCCCTCAAGGAGCTTGCAGTCTAGTGGGAAAATGAGGGTGTAATTATTCTAGTTATAAAACCATGAAGTGCTAGATAGAGATAGAAACAATTTGTCCTGAGTGCAAGTGATTCATTCTAAGAAATCAAGAGAGATTTCTCAACTGTGGTACTTATGATTCTGACAGAATAGATGTGTTGGGCACAGCTGAGTTGAGAACATGGGCAACACATGAAGAGTAAAATTCATGGATGTGGCAGGAAAATTTAATCAGGATCAAACTGGAAAGGGCCTTAGGTCTACACTTTAGTTTATACTTATGATAGCAGCATACGGGCCTTTCTGCCAACATGAACAGTTTGGAGCCCGAGACATCTGCTAGGAGCCCATTGCAGTGAAGATGAGGGGTTGCTCAAGCAGTTAAAGCATGGAGAGAATGGATAGGATATTGAGTTGACTAAACATACAAAACTATAAACAAGAGTCCAAAGAATGAATTAATCCTCCAAGATCCAAAAGATTTATAAGGATTTTTGATGGCTATTTAGTGCCTCCTGGTGGATAGATGAGACCTTCCCAGCATTAACAGCATCAAGCCACTTCGATGTTTCTTCTTCCAGTAAATCGTACAGCCTCTTGCTAATCAGCTTCTGCAGAAATCTGCACTCAGATTACAAGGCACTTAGTTGAATCTAGTTAAAGACAGACCCTCCAATGCTACCAAGTCACATATAGTACAATAAATGATCAAATGCTAAATTAAGTGGTCAACTACCCACCCAAGAATTAAGAACACCAAACCATTTAAGAGGTAAAGATTTGTAGATATGGAATAGAGCCATTTTTTAACATTACTTAAGAATCTAGGTCTGAGGCAATCATGGACAACGTATCCTGGGATCATGAGTGAATGGCACAGACAGAAGTTTAAATATTTGAAGTCCTCTAAGTAATGGAGATTCTATGAAAGTTTGAGTGGGGGTGATTACAGTACCCAAGGATTTTAAGACTAATCTGACATTAGAATATAAAATGGAGAAATTAGGTTATTAATATGACCAAGTAACTGAACTACAGACAGTCCTCGGGTTATGTCAGACTCAATGTACATCATTTAATGATTATGTCACCATTCCCCATCCTATATAATAAAGAGGGAATATGCAAATTGACCACCACTCCACCACAAAGATGGCGGCGCCCACAGCGGAGTTGGGGGTTTCTGTAACACAAGATGGCTGCACCCACAGTGGAAGCTGCTCCCGTAACAAGCCTTAACGAGCAATCAGCAGGGTCTTGAGGCTGTGCCGTCCACCCCCCCACCCTCCATGGGGTTTGACAGGGGACCTCAGGCCCCGCCTCCCACCCTGGCGCCAGGCCGGGGGACCTCAGGCCAAGCCCCCTGCCCGGCAGGGCTTGACAGGTGACCTCAAGGTGTGCCCCCTGCCCCAGTGCTGGGCAGGGGGACCTCAGGCTGCTACCCCTTGCCCCGGGCCGGGGGACCTGAGGCTGTCCCCCCCGCCCGGCAGGGCTTGACAAGGGTGGGACCAACTGGGTCTGGATCTAGACCAATTGGGTGGGGGGGGGGGAGGCGGCCAGGTCTGGGTCTTGCGCGATTTTGAGGCACATGTGGGTGGGCAGGGTCTTGACTCTGGGTGCCATGGTGTACCCCAGACTCTGACAGGAAGTAGTTTTTCATATACATTTTACTAATTTTCCTTAATCTCAGACACTTCTGAGAAAGGGCAAATAGCAATATTAAAATATTTCCTCTAATTAATCCTTTTAATGTGCATGAATTTCATGCACTGGGCCACTAGCTTACTTACAAAAAAAAAGTTCCATCATTTCAATGACGTATGTACATATGTGCTTTATGTTTTTCATTTTTTATTTACCATAAGGTCAGGAATTGTTCAAATTTTACTTTTCATTAGTGCTGTGTATGTGCTCCACATGAGTGACGCAGGCACTTATGTAGGTGGGTTCCGACTTACGGTGAAAATCACATTACCTCGCGCCATTGGAACCCATCTCCTATGTAACCCGAGGACCTACTGTACTAAATTTAAGGATACTAAAACAATGAAAGCCCATTTTGATCCTTAAGGGAAGGATCCAAAATAAATTAGCCCATGTTATGTGGTCACTGCATGACTAAGATAAGCTTTGCAACTGTTAGCTAAATGTTTGTTTTTCTCACCTTGGGGTAAAGACAGGATAGGCTACCCAGACCACAATCTTAAGATTCTAGCAGTGCTCGTGCCTTAATTCATTTGCACATAAGTTTTATCAGGAACACACACAAAAGTGCTATTAGATCACTCTAATCTAGCCATTCTTTTACTTCCCCAAGCTCATTTTACTTCTCAAATACCAATCAGGGCTACGTGATATCCAAAAAACCCACCATCCTCAACTAAACACTTAATGTTGCTACTAGTTGTTCGCTTTAACTCCTATTCCTTAATTCATAACTAAGAACTTCCCTTCCACAACACCAGCACTTCCACAAAGGAGAATTGTCATCTGGAATCTAAGAGAGACTAGGAAGATAAATAATCCTTACACTCAAAAGGCCGAACAATTTTTATTTTCAAAAACAACTTTATTCATGACACATTTTAAAAAAACTCCCACCCGCTGGAAATGAGCTAGAAAAATAAACAAAATCCACCTCCCACCTCCCTGTGCCCACTTCCTCCCATTCCCTCCAAATAAAAGGGAAAAGAAAAAAAAAAAAAGCAAAGGGAAAAAAAACAAAACTGAAAAACAAAAAAAGTCACCAAACCCCCCAAAACAAGGTAGTGCATTTCCCCAGGGGGAAGGGGAATTTACACTGGAGCCGCTGGGAGCGGATCGGAGATCTTCCGGCTACAGAAACCTGCAAAGAAAGACACTCAAAACAGAAAAAGAAACACAAAAGGAAACAAAATAGATCACCAGGCAATTTGAAGGAACAGGGAGCCAGAAAAGAGGGGTGGGGTGGGTGGTTGACCTGGCAGGACAGGAGCAGGCAGGAGGGTACTGTGAAAGTGAGGAAGATGGAGGGAAGGTAACAAGCAGAACAGTTTGGTGTCCTTCCAGAGCCCTGGGTTTAAAAAAAAATCCCTCCTACCATCCATGCCCACCTACCCTTGAGCAGCCCCCAAAGGGGTGAAGTGGGACAGGGAAACAGTGGGAGCAGCTTGCGCAGTTGAGTCGAGTCCATGGCGAATCCCCAGAGTGAATAAGCAGCCCCCTGCCCCACACCCTGGGCCTTCCCCTACTCCCCAAAGCAGGTCCCTCCTCAGCAGTTAGTTATGGGATTTTCCCCCCTTCCCCAGTATATCTTTTTTTTTTTTTTAATATTTTTTTTCCATCAAGGTCATCTTCTGTTTTCTTTTTTTTTTTAATTCTTTTTTTTTTTTCCTTCTTTCCTCTTTTTTTCCTCTCTCTCCTCCTAATACACACTTTTTTTAGTAAGGGGAATACCATGAAGTCGCTCTAGCCCGGCCCCTGGAAGAAAGAAGGAGAGTTAGGTGTTAACATAATCACTAGATAGCTCAGTACAAGCCCCTCCCCATGGGCCCTCGCCCCAGTTACTGTGAAGGGAATGGGGGCAAAGAAAATTTCCAAGTATACTAAAACTGACCCCACAATCTCAGAAACAGTGACAGAGCTGGCAAATGGGAGGGGGGAATTAACAAAATACTTCTCCAAACAGTGGCAATAGAGAAGTGCACCTGAGACAAAAGAGCAAGGAAAAGGACTCATTGTATGCAGTTTTCTCAATTCTCCACAGGTCTATACTCTCGGCCCTCACCAACAGAACCTACCTCCTGAGAGCAGATAGGTAAATACTATGAAAAGCCCAGGTCTATATACCTAACTTACCTATTTAAGTGAAAAGAGAAGTAAAGCAACATGGGCACCGCAAGACTGGCTCAGTTAAAGAGTAAATATCTCAATATCCTCCCTCATGGTTGTTGAGGAGGATCAACTAGCCTCTGGTATTCTTCCAAGGAACCTTCAAACGTCAACCCCTCCCTAACTGGGAAAAAAGGAAAAATGTCCAAGCAGTACTTTCGCTGCTCTGAGGCCCTGTTCTTCCAGACTTCCTGTGTAAACCCATTCACTGCCACCAACTCTCAAGGAAAATCATGCTGGGGGAAGAAGCATCTCTCAGGACAGAGTGGAGAAATCCAGCCCTTATGACCAATTCCTGCTCCAGAAAAAGATGATGAGACTGGCCACCTGGCCTGGCCTGCAACTACCTTCCTCACCCTGCACAGGCAGGAGACCAAGTCCCTGGAGACCAAGGGGAGGGTTAGGGAAGGTTCCTCAGATCAGGAGAGAAGTAAACATAAAGGTTCATGGGAAGTGGGGGAGAGGAGCAGCCCATCTATCCTGACCTGTAGACACGACCCCGGGGCCTGCTGTTAAAACCACTGTAGAATCGAGCTCGGGAACTGTTGTAGTTGGTGGTCCGGGCACGGTATCGGGCTCGTGGGAAACCCCGGTCTGTTGTGCTGATCCCTGGTCTGTTGGTTCGTTTTGGGATTACCTGAGCGAAGGATGTACAATATAGAGCTTAAGTCAACCTGGAGAATTTACATAGAACCAAAATAGCAGTGAGCATGGGGCTTACCTTGATTTGTCTTCCTCTAAATAGGGATTCATCTAAGGCCAGGGAAGTCCTCACTGACTCTTTGTCTGAGAACTCTATATATGCAAACCTGCAAAAAAGTGAGACTTTAGCTATCTGAGAATGCAAACAGTAGCTCATAGGTAAAATTCAACATTGCAGGCATGCTTTGTTTGGGTACAATGTGTTCACCCTTTAAATTATTGGTCAAAAAATTTTTTTAATGTTTTTATTAATTGTTAGAGAGGAAGTGAGAGAAAGATGGAATCATCAATGAGAAAAACACCATTGATTGGCCCATAACCTGGGCATGCGCCCTGAACAGGAATCGAACCAGTGACCTCTTGGTTGATGCTCAACTACTGAGCCATACCAGCCAGCTGGTCAAATAATTTTTAATGAAAAATTTTAATCAAAATGTCCAGCTACTCTTAGAAAATTGTAAAACAGGGTATATAGGGCCTGAATTTCTATACGACAGAACCAGGTAAGGCCAAGCAGAAGCTGCCCCTCCCCTTCTAGTTCATGATCCCATTCATATCTAGCCTTCATCTTTATTTTGTCTGGCCCCTGAAAGCATTTATGTGCAACCTCTGAAATGCAGAGATGGGCAAAAGTAGGTTTACAGTTGTGAGTAAGCAAGTTTATTCTTGTATTATATATTCTTCCATACCCACCACTGTGAACCTACTTTTGCCCACCCCCGTACATCAACATTAATGCGTTAAGCCCTAGTCGGGTTGGCTCAGTGGACAGAGCGTCGGCTTACAGACTGAAAGGTCCTGGGTTCGATTCTGGTCAAGGGCACACGCCCTGTTTCGGGCTCCATCCCCAGTAGGGCGCGTGCAGGAGGCAGCCGATCAATGATTCTCTTTCATCACTGATGTTTCTATCCCTCTCTCTCCCTCTTCCTTCCTATCTGAAATCAATAAAAATATATTTAAAAAAAGACAAAGGACACTTGTTGGAACAGCAAGTTAACTTAATCCTCAATATAAAATCTACTTGTTTTTATCTATTTATTTAAATCCTCACCTGAGAGTATTTTTCCATTGATTTTTAGAGTGGAAGAGAGAGGGAAAGGCAGAGAGAAATACTGATGTGAAATAAACACATTGATTGGTTGCCTCCTACAAGCACCCGTACCAGGGTAGAGCCTACAACCAAGGTATGTGCCCTCGACCAGAATTAAACCCAGGACCCTTCAGTCTACAAGCCAACACTCTATCCACTGGGCCAAACCAGCTAGGGCTAAAATAATCTATTTTTAAATTGTGACTAAAATGACCCCAACATACTTCCACACTTACCCTTTGGGATGGCCACTAAATTTGTCACAGAGTATGGTAACACGGTTGACTGAACCACAGCCATGAAAGTGTGCTTCCAGCTCTTCTGCTGTTGCACCATAGTCCACCTGTGGGGATATATAAATACATACATACATACACACACACACACATATATATATTTGAAGGGAGGGTACATTTCAAAGGTACTGGATAAATTCCCACCTCAATAGATACACTGCTTAGCCTTTGAGGTATACGTTATCCATATAGAGTAGTGATGGCGAACCTATGACACGCGTGTCAGAGGTGACATGCGAACTCATTTTTTTGGTTGATTTTTCTTTGTTAAACGGCATTTAAATATATAAAATAAATATCAAAAATATAAGTCTTTGTTTTACTATGGTTGCAAATATCAAAAAATTTCTATATGTGACACAGCACCAGAGTTGAGTTAGGGTTTTTCAAAATGCTGACATGCCGAGCTCAATAGGTTCGCCATCACTGATATAGAGGAAAGTACATCAAATCTGGTTCTCTTTTCTTTCCAACCCCAGAGGCTCTGCTGATTGCTATTACTTTTTACCACCTCCCAACACTCCCTCAGCCCCCAAATCTATCACCTATCCTAGAGATGTTCCTTTCAAGGCTTCTATTAAATGACTCCCCAAAATAAGACCTCCCACCAACCCCAATCTGGGCCTTAGTACATACATTGCCAACATAGATGGAACGGGCATCAGCCTCCATCTTCTCTTCGATAGACATGATCACTGGGCCAGCTTTGGAGGAGGAAAAAAAAAAATTGCTTTTTACTTGACCAATATATGAACCACCACCATCATCACTAGTGAACACGAAGATTTTGGTTCATTCTTTGCTGTACCCATTGCCTAAAATAGTGCCTAGCACACAGTAGGTTCTCACTAAATATTAGCCAAATGAAGAAATAGGGTAATACATTCTTTAAAAAAAAAAAAAATCAAAGAAAACAGTACAGGAATCCCCTCCCATTCCCAAGTCAAGTCCCTAATGAATAGGTTTGGTTGAAATGATCTGATTAAAGGGGAAGCCCCTGCAGCTGAGCGGTTTATCTCAGGACTCCTAACTAAAGAGTCACCAATTTAAGGAAGAACTATTAAGCTTGAAGGTCAAATGCCAGCTGGCAACCTCCACAAAGGGTAGAGGTAGACTAAGAACAAAGAAATATAGTATTTGTAACAGGGACAAAGGGAGGCACCCACTACCCTCACCAAAACAGCTTGCTTCACAAAGGTCAACGGAATACACAATGGACTATGCCCGCCGGCACCTGGTCAGCAATTGCCGACAAGCAGCTCCAAGGTCCAGACCATCTCATCCCGCATAACCCTTCCCATCCGGGCACCGGCTCCGCGTGCAAGCGCCAGCCACTCACCATTGCCTGGAGGTGGACTCATATTCATCTGCTTCTCCACCTCGTTCTGCAGCTCTTTTAGCTTCTCGGCTTCTTCCTCCATCTCCCTGACTCGAGCTTTAATCGCTTCCAGCTCCTACAATGAGTGGGGAAGGTATGGAGAAGAGCTGAAGAGGAACCACCGCAGGGCTCTGCCTGCTCTCGCACCGCACGCGGCGCAGCCGTGCTCGGCCATTTCCCTCACCCCACGCGAGGGTCATGACGAGAAGAAACGCAGGCAATCTTCTGTGCAACAACACTAGGCACCCATGACGCCCGAATCCACCCGGCCGGGCCTCTCCAAGC